ACAGCTTGTAACACTCCAAAGAGAAAGGAAAACTTGAAATCACATCATATGACCCCTTTAATAATAAATTTTTTTTAGGTATTATGTCTAATAGTTGTTGTTATAAGTGCATGATATAAATATGTGAATACAACGTATTTATATTGTAGAAAGTTGTAGAAATATTTATGTACTTATTTATTGTCTTTACTTATTTTTATACAACAGTTCGTTCTGGTTCTCCTCTCGTACTCGAGCGATACCAGCTCTATATCAGCGGCTGTGATTGCCTCTGGCACTCGGCGTGCGGCCTCATGCCTCTGGCCTAATCACAGCCATGCTGATATAGAGCCGGTATCGTTCTCGTACTCGAGTGATATTGCTCATATATATCGACAGCAGGCTGGACAATTTGTGCTGTTATTGATGAAGGTTTTTACGTGTTCTTATGAGGTTACAAATACATTTAGCTTGCATGTCCTTTCATGTGTGTTTAAGGAGATTGTTCAGCAGCTCATAGACAACAGTACAACATTCAAGGACAAAACTGAATTTGCTCAAGAGAAATACATCAAGAAGAAAAAGAAAAAGTGAGTTTAAACCATTGTTATTACATATTTTAGCAATAACATGTAAAATATAACTCTTATAAGAAGTACTTTGCTTTTATGTATATAGGTACGAGAGTGACGTAACAATCCTGAAACCCTCCACTCGACTCCTTGCCATGATGTACCACGGCAGAGAACCAGGGAAAATATGGCATGTGAACTTAAAGGAATACTTCAATCATTTACTCATCCTCATGCAATTTTAGAACCCATGAGTTAAATTAAATAATTGCACCATTATTTATTTAGGGAAATATTTTAAGTATACTCGTGTGTACACACACATATTTATACTCTATTGTAAATATTTTTGTCTATTTTAGTCACCTGCGGTACGACACAATGGCTCAGATTTTGACTCTGGGTAACATCCACGCTGGCAGTAAAATCATTGTTTTTGAGACTTGTGCTGGACTTGTGTTGGGCTCGGTGATGGAGCGAATGGGAGGTAATCACACTTTACTTAAAGGGATCATTCACCCCAAAATGAAAATTGTCATATTTACCCACCCTCAAGTTGCTCCAAACCTGTATGAGTTTCTTTCATCTGTTGAACTTAAAAAGCTGTTTTGAAGAATATGGGTTGGTGACTTCCATAGTATGACAAAAAACAGTGGAGACCATCAACTGTTTGGTTACTCGTATTTAGAAAATCTTATATTAGTCAACCACTATTACACTGTGCTGATGATCCAGATGTTTCTGTTTTTCAGGTTTTGGCTCAGTGATTCAGATGTATCCTGGTGGAGGGCCAACGAGAGCCGGCATGGAGAGCTTCGGCTTTCCGTCACACTTCCATGAGACGCTGCATGAGTTCCCTTTATGCAAAGTTAACACTCTGCTGGCGGGAACCCTGGATCTGTCAGAGAAGGACGCAGATTCTGAGTCCAATGGCAGCAGGAACGGTCAATCTGAGTCCTCTCAGGAAACCTCAGGTGTGTCTGAGGAGAAGAGCTCAGAACCTCAGAGCATGGAGGTTAGCGTCGACCCGCAAGAAGAAATGAGGAGAGCGGAGAGAGAAAGACTGCGAGGACAGAAGGTAAGATTTTCCCCACGACTTTTATGTGCATATATCGCATCATGGTTGGGTGTTTCTGGAACTACTTGAATACTTACATTAAAAAAAAAATAAAAAAATATGATTATTGTTAAAAATTATTATTTTTTTATTAATAGTTTGTGTCATGGAAACTGTCTTGGAAACTTTTTTCATGCCTACATCATTAAACCTGCTTTTGCTTTTATTGTCGTCTAAGGCCAAACCTTTATAAAATACCATTTTAAAATACTAAATATAATTGAAATAGTTCTAAATATTAATAATTACTTTTTATATCAAATTATATGATCATTCAAACAAAAAGCTAAAAAATATATATTTCATCAAAGACCTAAACTTTCCATTATAAAATATGAATTTAATTTAAATGATCTAAATAATAATTAATTTTAAATGTAAAAAAACTATTTAAAAATGTGTTACATTTGGTCCAAAACCAAAATGCACCTTTTTAACATAATATAATTTAAATAATTCTAAATATTATAATTTTTTTAAAAATGTCATCATTTAGACAAAAGCTAAATAAACACAAGCTATTTACAAATGCATTGTATTTGATCCAAGCCCAGAACTTTCCATTTTAAAATATTATTATAATTTAAATAAATATAAATATTTTCTTTTAATAATTTAAACAAACAGCTGAATAAACAAACTAAATAACAAACAAACTAAACGTTTATTTTTTATTTTGTACCCAAATTACAACTGTTCCTCTGTTGTGATGTCATTTTCACAATGATCAAAAATGTTGTCCTTTTGATAGTTTTCAAAACTCTACATCGTTGCCAAGCAGACAAAAGATTAAAAGAAGAGCAGCTTGAGGTGAAATGTGTGAAAAGGGATGTGTGAAGAAAACAGAACAAGCAAAAACAGACTTTTTGTGTGATGCCTGTATATACACTTCTGAACATTGTTAATGGGAAACTAGTCATGGTGGGAAAAGTGTCTTTTAAGAGTTTATTTTAAAACGTCACACATATTTAATTGGTCTTTCTAACCTTACAGGCTCAAGAGAAAAAGGTGAAGATGGAGGAGAAGAGGAAGAAGTTAGCTTCAGCTGCAGCTCTATTAGAGGGCAGAAATGCAGATGGGTATGTTTTGTGTTGTAAAAAAAACCCGCTTTCTGTTATATAGGAAAAATATTATTTTTAACTCTATTGTCCAGCCCTAAATGCATTTAAAACTCATAAACATTTCAAATCTCTTGGTAGTCCATAGCATGATTAAGTGCACATTTTGTATATGATTTCAAAAGAGGAAAACATGCGACTGACTGTTCATGAAAGTGATGTATGGTGATATTGATGAGTCTTGACGTGTCATATTTTGTATTGATTTTTAAGCTGTTTTGTATGCAGTCTTCCAGGGATTCACCTAGTTAATATGGGCAAGCTGATTGAAATGTTTGTTTGTTTCAGGTTGGTGATTGCTAGTCGCTTCCACCCCTGTCCTGTGTTAATGGGTCTGCTGAAGTTCATAGCTCCATCACGACCGTTCGTAGTGTACTGCCAGTACAGAGAGGTAAAACGGATTGGTTTAGCAAGTGTTGTTCAAGAGGCAGTTCTTCCAAACTTGTTATTTAGCAAAATGTCTAAACATGTATTTTGCATGAAGTAGATTTTGCCAGTTGTTGTCAAGTTCCCATAGTACCATAAAAGCAGGGTGTACCATCGCTTTAAAAAGATTTGTATATTCAGTTTGAGTTCAGTGCTTACTGCAATATTTACTGTCTGATCTGGTTTGGACAGCCGCTGATTGAGTGCTACACAAAACTCAGGGAACAAGGAGGAGCAATCAGTCTCAGATTAACAGATTCCTGGCTCAGGCATTACCAGGTAATTCTCTACTTCATCCTGTACACAGACTGTTGTTTTTGCTGTAATGCCAGACTTTTTGTTATTAATCGTTTTTGTTTACACTACTTTTCAAAAGTTTGGGGTCAGTACATTTTTTTTTTCTTTTTTTTTTTTTTAGAAAGGAATTAATACTTTTATTCATCAAGGATGCATTAAATTGAGGCTGCAATACAATAAACTGTATTGAGGCACTAAGACTTTTACACTGTTCCAAAAAAAAAAAAATCTTAATCCAATTAAATTATGTTCTTTTGAACTTTATATTAATCTTGAAAAAATGTATGGCAAATATTAGGCAGCACAACCGTTTTAAACATTGATATAATATTAATACTAAATGTTACTTGAGCAGCAAATCAGCATATTAGAATGATTTCTGAAGGATCATGTGACACTGAAGACTGGAGTAATGAAGCTGTAAATTCAGCTTTGTATCACAGGAATAAATTACATTTGAAAATGTATTAAAATAGAAAACAGTTATTTTAAATTGTAATAATATGTCACATGATTGCTGTTTTTACTGTATTTTTGATCAAATAAATGCAGCCCTGGTAAGCATAAAACATAAAAAAAAAAACATTTGAACGGTATTGTACATCAAGTTCAAAATATAAAAAATAGAAATGTATTTATTTAATTTGCTCAGTTATGCTAAAATTCGCATTGGCACGGTTATTTATATGTAAACCTTTTTTGTTGTATTTCCAGCAAAAACAGATACATTTCGATGTAATTACTCTTATATTAGATGACTCGCGCTGTGAAATAAGATTTTGGTCTTACCACCCACCCCTAGAAGGCTTTGACTTCTTATTCACTTCTGTATCATTGTTTCAGGTGTTGCCCAACCGGACTCATCCAGTGCTGCTCATGAGTGGAGGTGGAGGGTATCTCCTGTCAGGAACCACGGTCGCTGCAGACTCTGCCAAAGCTAGGAATCAGCACAAATCAGAGGAGCCTGTTGCCAAGAGGCTGAAACTGGATGAGATTAGTTCTGCCTAGGCAATTAGTTTAGTTTAACTTAAGTGAGAAGAAACCAAATCAGTGTTGGACTCACACATTCAGCCAGTGCTTTATGCTCTGTATGATTTGCACGACTTTATTATTCAGAGTCTGTTAGCTACTGTTTTTTGTTTCTTTTTGAAAAGATTTGCATTTAAGAGCTACAGAAATGTTCTCATCCTTATTTATTTTTAATTTTTTTAGCAAGATGTGGAGGAAGGAAGACATGCTGCTTTTTCGGCATCCTCTGCACTTGGCGAATAACCAAGTTTTGCTTACAAAATGCATCATTGCACAAGTAAACCGTATATTTATGTGTTTTAATCATTTTCAAAAGGTTTCCAGCATCAAAACACAAATGATAACTGCATTCATCGGCTTTGGTCCCATAATTACACATTTTATTAAATGCAAACAATCAAGTAAGCAGAGGTTCTGTTGAAGATTATAAAGAACAACGGTAATTTTTCAACATACTGTGTTTTTTACAGTTGTAAAGTAGCATGCTCAAAAATGCGGTCAAATTTGCAGTCAATAGTACTTGGTCATTTTGTTTTTTTGTTATTTTAGAATGTAATAAACAGAAAAATGATGCACATGACATTATCAAGCTTTTTTTCCCTTTTATAGGCTGTCTTGCTTCTAAGACTCTCACATTAAATGCTGATTTACACTAATAACAAGTATAATGCAGTTGTAATCAGGTACGACATATAATAATTCATTCATCTAAAGCAGCCCAAGTAAGCACACATAAAGCGTATTGAAAATCAATTCAGGCACCGTAAGAAGATGATGTTTCAGCTGGTTCTAGGAATGATTAAGTTGTCTCTTTCATCTGTTGATCCACAGAGGCCAGTTTCTCAAGTTCCTTTAAATGAAAGAAAAGAACAAGAATTAAATGCAGTGCATACTTATGTTTCATAACTCTTTTAAGTGATGCTTAAAAACAATTGCCTTAATCAGTCCCCAGAGTTGTTTTGTGTTGTTTTTGCCGTTGTTGCAGTCTGGCATAAACTGGGTTGTTTCTTTATGATTGAAAGAAATTTGGTTGCTCTTGTCAATGAAATATCCTGTTTCCACATTCCCAGTAGGAAAGTTATATGGAAGTACCTTTAGTTATTCAATATCCCCGTCATGATGATGAGGAATTATGCTCTTAGCACATCCCTCTAAACCCTTAAGTAAATGCAATATTACTTCGTAGTTTGCAGGTATATCAGATAACTCAGATGTCCTTGTAATAGCACAACATTTGGCTTAAGTAGTCACCGGAGAGATGCTAGGAGGTAATTGCTGCTTTTTGGTGCAGCTAGAGTTGCATGGTCTAAAGAACTGAAAGGAGAGTTACAGTCTACCCACATCTTCTCTTAGGCACTCAACTTATCCATGTTGAAGTCTAGCAAGCAGAGATACTGAAAAGCTACTTCAAGCGGAAAATCTGGCCTTGTTTTTCAAGAGCTCCATGAAGCAAGTCTTGATTGTGTTAATGTTGTTCTTTGCTTCCAATACGTCCCTGTCTAGTACTAAACGACTTGGGTGAGTGAATGCTTTCTTTATTCCCATTTGTAATTTAACATGTAGACTTTAGGGCTCAGTGGGTCCATTTGTTAAATTGGGATTGTGAAACCTAGTGCAGAGGTCTTCAACCCTGCTCCTGGAGTCCCACTGCTCTGCAGACTTTAGATCCAGACCTAATCAAATACACCTGAGGATTGCTTGAAAATCACAGGCGGGTGTGTTGTAGCAGGTTGGAAATAAGCTGTCCAAGACAGTGGGTCTCCAGGAGCAGGTTTGAAGACCTAGTGCATTGGTCCCCAAACCATTCCCAAAGTTTCCCTAACAGTGCACATTTTGAATATCTCTTATCTGACACAGCCGTCCTGTACCTGGTGTCTCCACGAACAAGTTTCTGAGTTGAATCAGAATAGGGAGATGCCAAAAATTGTGTGTTTTCAGACAAAATGTGCAAAAACTGTGAACTGTCACTTGGACAGATCAGACCATACCTCCTCTGGTGTGAGAAGCTTCTGTTGGGGGACTCCCTTTTCCTCCTCGGGTGACTCCTCCTGAGTAAGTAGGCCTCTTTTGTACCGGAGAGTCTCGGCGAGGTCCTCTAGTTTATGGTAGGGGTGCTGGTCAGTACTTTCAGCCACATTATGGCCTCTTTTGTACCAGGCTGGATGGTAGTATCCTCTGTAAATCCATGGGGAACGCTTCTCATAGACATCACCTTTGTTAAGTAGACGTTCCTGTAACTCATTCTTCTTTTTGGTTAGGTACCTCAATGCAGCCTCCCTGTCCTGCTTCTCCTCTGCTGAACTCTGGTGCCCTTTCTTCAGCTCATCTTCTTCCTCTTGGCTGGTTAAAGGATGCCTCTTTTCATTAAGCTCATGGACAATTTCCTGTTTTTCCTCTTTAGGTGAATGGCGCTTGAAGGTGTTGTCTGTTGAGTCATGGAGACTGTGAGTCTTCTCTGAGATGGGTTCATTTTCATCCTCAAGCTCTATGGAGTCGCCACGCTTGTGATGAAGCTTCTTGTGATGATATCTGTGTGTGGGCTTCCAGATCCTTTTATCCATTTCCTCACTCTCCTCTGAGTCCTCATTCCTTTTTTCCAGGGGTCTTTCCTTATAATCCTCTTCAGATGAGTCCCGTTTGTGGTGTTTCTTATGGTGGTATCTATGGGTGGGTTTCCAGTATCGCTTTGCGATATCCTCGTCTACCTCTTCTGATTCTTCAGATCTCTTTTCCTGAGAGTTTAAGTCCTCATTAAGTTGCTCGTTCAGCAAGTGTTCGTTTGGCTTGTAGTGCCCACCATCCCAATGACTCCTTTTTTGTCTGTAGCTTGGGAAAACTTCTTGACTTCTATCATAGTCTGGTTCTACAAAATCCTCATTCTCATTGCGTTTGTGGTGCTTTTTCTTGTGGTGGTATCTATGTGATGGCTTCCAGATCCGCTTCTCTCTTTCCTCACTCTCCTCATCCTCTTCTTCTCCATCCCCATGGTTTCTTTTGTGGGTGTAACTTGGGAAATCTTCTTGGCTTCTATCATAGTCTGGCTCTTCATGTTTTTCTCTGCTGGTCTGAAGACGACTCCTTTTATATTCATATAGAGGGAATTCCTCTTGGCTGCGCTCCTCATCGGGATTATCACGCTTGTAGAGGACGGAAAAATGTATTTTTTGAGGAAATTCCTCTTGGCTTCTCTCATCATCAGGATCTTCTCTTTTATGCTTGTTGCCTCTTTTATAGAAACTTGGGAACTCTTCCTGACTTCGTTCATCATCCAGTTCATCACGTTTTTCTTTGATTCTTCTTTTCATAAAACTTGGGAACTCTTCCTGGCTCCGTTCATCGTCCATTTCCTTACGCCTGTCTTTGATTCTTCTTTTAACAAAACTTGGGAACTCTTCCTGGCTACGTTCGTCATCCAGCTCCTCCCGTTTGTCAGCTTTGAGAAGATCCTCTATGAGTTCCTCCTCCTTAACTTTAGACTCTTCTCTTGGTTTTTTAAGTTCCTCTTGAGCCGGTTTTAGAGTGTCTTCCTCCTTTTTCACAACTGAGGAATGACCTGATCCTAAATTAATGGAGAGATAAATATGGGCACAAAAAATGCACATGCAAATGACTTGTAACTAATTTTCACTCCATTGCTTATACACTGCATGAATACATCCAATTATTATTCCACAGTCTTAGAGTGAAACCACTGACCTATAACAGTCTCATCCACCAAGCACGATGTACTGAGGTTAGAAACTGCATGTGACGATAATGTAGTCTGACTGTTCTCACGTTATATGTCCAAATGATAAATTGAATGGATTTAGATGTAAGATCAAACATGAGTTATGCTAGAAATAACCTGGATAAGATTTCTCCATTTGAGTTCATTTGCTAATAAATCAAATGTTCTACTCAATAACACAGTAAAGCAACACAGTGTGACAGTGCAAAGTAACGTACCTGGTGTAAGGATGTTTTTGCATTCTGGATGCAGTGGAGTATCATCGGTCTTATACAGCGCCTTTGAAAGGATGTGAACTAAACACTGGGTAAGCTGAAATTAAAGTATGTACTTTAACCAAAAGGAGTAGAACAATAAATGCATTGTTTTTTTTTTGTTTTGTTTTTTGTAGACATAGAAGCTACAGCATACCAGGTCCTCTCTTTGGCTGTCCTGATCAACTGGTATGGACCCTCCATCTGGGATAGTAAAAGCCTTGAATTATATTTGTGCAAATCGCAATGCGAAAGCTTATTCATCTCGATATCACCAATTATCCATACGTTTTACTCGTGCAAAAACCGCTTAACGAAAATTTCCATCGTGATCTACTATTTGTTCCGCAGCAAACTGTCTTGTCGCTGACCATGGTGCTGAAATGATTTATTCAATGATTCTTTGTGTACACTTACCTGCAGCAAAGAAAACAACCAAGCAGACTAAAGCGGCAAACTTCATGATGCGCACAGATGTTTTCTGCTCTTGATGTTATCCGAAACGGCTTTTGTCTTTGCAGTCTCAAGCAGCAGAGAGGAGCTCCGTTCCGCGTGCTGCAGCTCGGAGCGCGCGCTGCGTCTGTTTTAAGCTCGCGGTGGGACACGCAGGGTCTGAGCTCGTGAGTTGCTTACGTCACGACTAAAGTGAAACCTTAATGAGACCCCACCACCCCCACTTTAATGAAATTTTCTAATCTTCCACTCTAGCCTATGTATGGCGTTGAAAAGTAGGCTGTCATGTCGGTGCATTTATTTATACTTTTTGATTCATATTCAGCTGTGTCATGCAGCCCAGGAGTTTTATGTGTTGAGTTACATAAAACAGTATAGAGTAGGCTATACTAAGTGTGCAAACTAATCCTGGTCTTTGTGACTTATTTTATAAACCATATACGTGACCTTCCAGTCATTTGAGATACATTTCAGGCTAGTGATCTTGTGTATTTAGTTACAAGAAAAAATATAATACCAACAACTCAATAAGAAGTCATTAAATCTCTGCGAGATCCTGCAGTGCAATATTTATTTAATTGTTCATCGTATCTGAATAATTCTCATTGTAAATTATTGTACAAAATAATAAACAATCTCATTTGAAATCGGACAGAATGTTGTGCAACTCTTAGACGCCCACTTCATTCATGGATGGTGTGTGTCATGAGGGAATTGTGAAAATGCAAACTAATGTTTGGTACAGGTGCTCTGAGTTTCAGCAGAAGGATTGCACCTGGGATGCTGTAGTTGCTGTGGTAACGGGACCGTCACGGGGCAGTCAGGAGTTGATCAGAGATGCAGAATGTAAAAAAAATAAGCTTTGATTTATCTTCCACACAAGCAGAACAAGGAAAGGGCCACATTTTAGTCTGTCAAAACCAGACAGGGAAGCTAGTGGCGATGTTTTCTGGTTCACGCGCAAGAAGGATAGGTAATTTGCCATTACATTTTCATGTGAGACCATTCAATGAAGTAACTGACAGCAGGTGTAATTATATTGTTACGCTAAGAAATGCACATCTCGGTCTTCTACTTCCTCCAAAAGTGATATTTCAAGGTAAAACTTGAAATTGGTTTTAAAGTAAAAATTGGTTTTAGAGTAATATTTTGTAACCTATAATAATTTAAACCATTCATTATTTTAAACATTTAGCTGTACTTTAAAAGTTACATGTTTTCTATTGTTTTTAGCCTAATTTTGTAGTCATAAAAATGTTTTATTATCAGTGTAACTGTATATTTATTAAAAATGTTTTCCATATCATCTCTTAGTGTGTTCACTATTAAAGTTTCTTTCATTTTCTTAATGTTTCTTTAGGATGTTTTGTGCTGACTAACATTAGTTTGCACAAAATATAAGTATTCACCTTAAGAGTTTAGTCATTCACATTTATTACAGTACATCTGTAATTAAGTGTGGGTGACTGATATGTCACAGAAGTGGCTGCTCATATAAGATGTATATAATTTCAGATGTTTAAACGAAACATTTTCTTAATAATCAAAAACGTAAAAGTATTTCTTATGACTACTCAACTTGCTGTTCGGCATTACACCTGACATATGCGATATCTGACTGAGCTATGATACTATCAGGCCGACTCTGAGAAGCATTGATAAATGTCTTTTCATTAAAGACAGCATAATGAGTCTCATGAATAAATAAGTGATAATTACATAGCCGTCTCACCATACTAGTGGATTTCAACATGCATTATTGTTTTGTGTTATAAACCGAAACACGAAGCAAGCAATATCTGTAGCATCCCAGTATTTATCATATTTATTGTCATCTCTCCCTCCCCGGGGAAATCCGGACCTCTGGCACGCTTAGAAAACGAAAACACAACATATCCATCATGCTTGTGAAGCTCGAATGCAATGAATTATACAGACATCTTTCCTCTAAAGCTGAAATCCTTGCTCATAATTTATTCAGTCCAAAAAAGAGTGAAGCTTTTGGAGTCATCGCTGCGCATATAGACACGATAAACAGGGAGCATAAGATGCAGGGTTCAAAGTGTAGGCTACCTAGTACGTACTAGCTGATTTACTAATTGAGTTGAGCTCAGATGCGTCCCCCGAATATTGTCAGGTTTGTTTGGCTTTAATCAAAGACATTTGCATGCAGAAACAAAAGCAGTGGCCGACAGAAGATTCTTGGCTTTGCTCTTCTTCTTTTTTTTTTTGGGATCCTCAGCATCATAAAACGAGCTATATTGTTGAATTTGTATTCGCTATAGCCTGTGGTCTGAGGCTGGGTGGTAGTATATTGTGTGACAGCTTCCTCATGAAACTCCAAAGTGCTTTGTCAGCATATACACTGCATATATGAAAGAGTGAAAAATTGAAGGGGGTCTGAATACTTTCCGTACCCACTGTATGTCACAGTCTATAAAATAATGCGGCACAGAAGAAGCTCCTATTTTCTCCTAAATAAATACGGCGTATAAAAAATATTGTACATACACTCACTTTCATATACTAAAATGCTATATGACCATTAATTCGTTTTTGTATAGTTGTGTGTTTTTGAGACTTTGGCGCCCCTACAGTTAAGTGAGTGGAATTTCAGCTGTACACGTGCATTTGCTGCTGCCATAAGCTCACCAAACTTACATTCTTCCAGAACAGACGTTTGGCAAAGAAACAGAAGCCATTCACCTCATTAGAATTCAGTGTACAGTTAGAATTATTTTAAAACTCATATTTCAATACATAGTTTCTTAAAATGAGGATTATATCACAAACTGCTTCAGATCTGAAACATGCAAAAGATATAATACTGTATTCATTTGTTTGAACTCCTTTAAGATTTAAGAACAGCTAACTGCCACAGGTAAGAGTTATTCATTGATTTACAATATCAAATAGTAGCCTATATTTCATATGCCAATATGGCACCCTCAGGCTTTATTTATATTTGACACACAGATCATTTTCTTCTTGTGAGTCTGGTCTGCATCAGACGGATATCCAACAAACAAAACAGGGAGAAATTAGGTAAAAGAAACCGTGACCACAACAGGTCTTTGAGCAGGTTTAGGGAGTTCAGGTGTTTTTAAAGGGTAAATGGTGCAAAAAAATAAAATAGACCCGCGTGCTTTCTGTTCTAGTGCAAGCACCGCTGCAGGTGTGCAGTGAAAGCACTGCTCTTTTATGCATTCACCGATGAGAAGCTGCTGCAACCTGCTCTGTGATCATCTGGGACTGAATAATCTCTTGTCCCATAACACACAAATGTAGCATCCTTTTAACATAGATCAGGACCTCAGCAGATATCCCTGCCAGACCAAACCCTGATGTATTTGATTAAAAGCATCCAAATATAGATTTAAACAGCAAACAATTACTACACCTTTCAGAGCTGATTTGGACTTTTCTTAATGTAAGAGTATATATCATTTTCAATGTTTTGAAAGAAGTGTATACTAATGCTCACCTAGGCTGCCTTTATTTTATCAAGAATATAGTAAAACAATGATATATATAAAATATTATTGCAACTTAAAATACCTGTTTGAATGTATTTTAAAATGTGATTAAAGCTGAATTTTCAGCATCATTACTCCAGTCTTCAGTGTCACATGATCCTTCAGAAATCATAATAATAATATGCCGATTTGCTGCTCAAGAAACATTTCTGATTATTATCAATGTTGAAAACCGTTGTGCTGCTTAATATTTTTGTGGAAACCAAGTCACGTTTTCTATGACGAATAGAAAGTTCAAAAGAACAGCATTTATTTTAAATATATTTTTTGTGTAACAATGTTCAAGTCTTTACTGTCAATCAATTTAATGCATTCTTGCTGAAAAAAAAAGAAGTTTACAGTAGTATTTCAATTAGGCTGATCATGCAGGCAATTGTGTGTATTTATTAATGTACCACAGCATCTGATCTGAGAAATGCATACAGTAAGTAGATATACAATGGCAAAGTGAGACAGGCAGGTGCCGAGAAAGACTGCAAACATCTGCACTTTTCCAGCCTTGAGTCCTGTTCTCATTATAAAAGCCCCTGGGAGGAATATGTGTGAGAGTTGAAGCATTCAGACAGACTAGATAATGCCAACTACAATAGAGAAACTGAAGTTGTAGAATTGCTCAGTAGAGAAGTTATTCTTCCTTTATCCACTGAAATCGCTTTATATTTTATCTAAGATGCAGGCAGCAGTTTCTTTCACTGCAAACTTACTTTGGTGCAGTACATGAGCATCCAGAGAGAAACACTGGAGCTAAGTGTAATAGTGTGCAGAGGGTTTATTAAATAGAAATGTTGACACTTGACACTTGGGAACAAAAGGTATATATATACTCACACACACACACACAATATTTGTATCTGTATATATGCCACAATATATATACCAAGATCTAAATTGTACTGTCAGAATATCCAGAAATCTTTAAAAAGTCTTTATAGGTTAGTATCTTGTAGTTTTACTTTTTCAGTAGAGATGGCTAAGTGCCAATCCATCATTAAAATTGAATTCTTGATATTTTTATTCAGGTATTAGATTATTATGCACAGCAGACAGGATGTTACCAGCAAATTGACAATGCAATTTTTCGCCATAATAAGTGCAATAAACTACTTTATGCGGTAAAATGCTAAATATCTTTGCTCAACTTCTTTCAGTTGATTTTCTATATTTTTAATATTCATGTATATAATCAACACATAAATATGTGAATAACGTTTTTATAAGGAAAACTCTAATATTAAATACTTTGAATTGTTTTTTTTGTATATATATTTCTGTGTTCATTGTAATTTTAGTTAGTTTTAGTAATATTGCAGTGTGCTTTTGTCATTTTTATATTTTAAAATTTCTATATAGTGTTTTATTTCAGTTTTAGTTATTTTAGTACATCGAGTTTATCTAAATGAAAATGTGAAATGTTGCCTGGACAACTAGCTGAAGTACAGTGAGTTTTTTTTTATACCAGATTTTATTTTAGTTCATGTTTATATTATTTTAAGTAGCAAAAATGTTTTCAATGGTTTTAGTTTTACTATAATAACCCTGATGTAAACCAGTAGATTTGGTCACACTGGAAATCTGCAAACATGCAGCAACAGAAACAGTTGCAATACATTCTGCAGAACCATGTGAGAATAACTGTATTTTACAGAGAGTTCATAATCTCAGCCTCGAGTCTTTCAGATAATCTGATGGATTAAGGACTCGAGGGAGAGGGTGATGAAATGAGAGATTCTGATAAGCAGCATCTGCTTTACAAGACAATATCAGCCAATTAAGTGACTTAATCCAATCCTTCCAAAAGTTTCCACATCAAAGATGACCTGCTGATCCCCTTTAATTCATCAATTACCCTCCGAGGTCACGCTTATCAGCTGATCGCAGCCCCGGTGCCCTATCTGAAATCGATCAGACATCACCGATTACCTCTGCAGTCCTGATCCAGATGAGAACTCGCAGTGGCAGAGGTGTTTAACTGAGATCTGACATTTGAACACTGTGCACCAGACTGATCCCTCATGTCTCCAGG